CAACTGTTGTTGAGAACCTCAGAAAGACCCAACATAGAATGATAGAACAGGCTAATAAGCACCGTCGCCCCTCACAGTTTCAAGTAGGCGACTTAGTCTGGGTCAAGTCTAAAGAGTTTGCACCTGAGGAGCACATCTCGCAGAAGTTATTGCCTTCCTATAGAGGACCGTGGCCGGTATTAGAAGTCAAAGGCGGAGAGAATGGACCGTCCTATACTWWRRAGATCCCAGCACACCTCCACACGTACCCAGTCTTCCATGCTTCCAAGTTGCTRCCGTGTGTCACAAGTGAACAGTTCCCCTCRAGAAGATCCATGATCCCTCCGGATATGGATGGAAGATACGACATTGACGGCGTTGTAGACGAAGATGTGTTTAGAACAGGAGGTAGAGGTCGTCCCCAGAAACAGTATAAGGTTCGGTTTGCCTACCAGGAGCSGGAAGACGAYCGCTGGTTCACAAGRACAGAACTGTTGGAGACAGCCCCTGACATAGTGAGGGCTTACGAACGAGATAAGAAAGGTAAAGGTCCAGTCTTGGATTGAAATATTCTCGGAGGACCTCGAATTTAGGACGGTGAGTGTGAAACAGTTTTCACCTTTGGCATTAGCCGATGCAGATCCCAGGGGTCGATCCCTTGACCTCRGCTTACCTGTGTACAGTATCTGCACAGTTCCCTGGAGTTGAACCCGTGACCTGCACGATAGCCAGTGGTAAGTAGGTCGCCGTAGATTGTAGGCTGTAGGAAGATTCGAACTGTAGACCTGTAAGGTAGGAGTCCAAGTAGAGTCCAGAGGCCTAGCTTTAGTCCTTCTAGAAGGTCGGCAAGTGGTCAAGTGGTGAGTCTAAGGTAGGCCCACGTTTTCAGACGAAGACAAGTGGCAAGGTCAACAGTTAGGACCTCAGTGCAACGGTACGACCGCCTACAGTCAGCAGAAGGGTCTAGAGAGTCCCAGTCCAGTCCAGCAAGTACCACAGGGGGACTGTGAGCACCAAGGGCCGATGGCAAAGGGCAGACCAACGAATTTCTGAGGTATAAATCAAGGGGCAGCGCCCAGCCATTCATTCATTCCTGCGTGAGCCATGCGGAAGCGCTGCCACAGCAACTTGTGCAAGGAGGTCTGCAGATGAGCCMGGAGGACGCAGTGGGCAAGAGAGGAGGAGTTAGCATAGCGATAGGTTAGAGGCAGCCATAGCTGCCATAGCTATAGTTAGTAGTGAGTGTGTGTGTGTGCTTGAGTGTTAGAGTGAAGCGTGTGGGATATCCAGGGTGATCCAGTGTATGTGAACAGTGAGATGTTTGGGCGCTGAGGTCGCCATAGCCAATTGGGAGTGAAATTCGTATCTGAAAACCATATCTCTGAGTTTTGAGTGGGCGCATGTCGCCAGTATGCTGCGTTACTGTTTACATGTGTGAAAAGTATGTTTGAAAACGAGTCTGATTGCAAAGCCCTGTTAATTGATGAAAAGCCAAAGGTGGACTGTCTATGCAGTTTGCTTTTCCGATTCTTTTATCTGCTGCAAGTTTGATGAATTGAAATTGAATTTATTTGATTTTACATTGTGTGAGACTCCTGCTGCAAGAGTGACCACTGTGCATGAGAATAATTATTAATTAATCTCCTGTGGAACTCCTCCCGTGTCCTCGTTCCTTCTTCTCTGAGATTTTCCCTTACTGTTTTCCATTTCCTGTCCTCTGGGTTTCATCTTATGGTTCCTGCTTTAATTTTTTTTTTAATTTTTTGTCGTGTAGAGCATGATCATTGCAATGGCATCCAGGATTTTTTTATTTTTTTTATTTTTTTTGGTTAGCCTTTGTAATTTTTTACAGGTTGCTTTGCTTCGCGGGTCATTCCCATTCATGATTCATCCCCTACCACACTGAAGAGCTGTGTGCTTTGGAAGAACGATTTATGTCTCACTTTGATGCATTCGGCTCTTGCTCTTGATCTACTTTTGTGAATCTGCTTACTTCAGGGACGGTTCTTCGACGAGACCCAGTGAAAAAGAACAGAAAGTAGTGAGAAAAAAAAGAAAGAAAAAAGCTTTAGAAAGATGACGAAGATTCAGAAGAAAAAAAAAAAAGACAAGATCCAAACGAACTCTCGAGGACAGAGAAAAAAAACGAAAGAAAAGATGACGCTTTAATAAGGAGTGAGGGAAAAGAGAGAGAAGAAGAAACTTTAAAATGGTGTTGAAGATTAAAAAAAAAAAAACATATAGGAGAAATAGGAGAAAATGGCGAACAACTTGAAACAAGCTGATAAGTTGACACGTAAGGAATGGACCTGTCCTCTTTTCTTTCAGCGCCTCTCGTCTTATGTGGTGCCATGAATGCCGCCTTCATATATCCCCTCGAATCGTGATCCATCCATCCTTTTCGCCATGTCATCGTTCCTTCGACTGCCTTTGCGTTTAGTTCTCTACGGACTTGTGATGTGCCTCAATTTTTCAAGAAAGAAGCCAACTTCGCATTGTGCGTTGTTAAAGCCAAGCCTGGTTGTTTGTCTGCCTTGCCTCCGTGTCGCAGAGTCTGAAGGGAGAGGTGGAGAAGAACTCAGCAATTCTGGGTCGGCAGGCGCTATTTGTGAAAACGTCATCTGTAATTCGGTTGCCATTGTAATGTCCTGTAAGGCCTGCCCTCCCGGTACAGCAAATTGCCTGTGTGCATCCCGTCCCCCCTCCCCCCCCCCGCCCCCTCCCCGGGCCTTCGCCTGCCCCAGGTTGCGTTCTTTGTGTTTTGAGAAGGGCGGTTTGTTTGGACTCTTTGGACGCTTGTCGATGAAACACAGATTGTGGAAAACCCATCCACAAATTGCCGACTGGCTCCTACCTTCCTAAGTAGGCAAATTTATCTTTAGCTAGTAGGTAGGTAGGTATCCAAGGTAGGTATCCAAGGTGGTCATCCATTAAATTTGGAAGGATACGGAGAAAGAAGATTAGCATGGCCCCTGCGCAAGGATGACACGTATAAATCGAGAAATGGTCCCAAAAAAAAAAAGAAGGAAAAAAACAAAGGTGCTGTCCAAGGCAGGAGATGAAAATGCAGCATCGCGATCCTGTCGGTGATAGGCAGTTGTGTTGTATATTGTATTATTAGTAGCACCGACAGGATCGTGATGCTGCATTTTCATCTCCTGCCTTGGATAGCACCTTTTTTTTTTTTTTTTTTTTTGAGCAGTGGAGTATTTGGGAAGAATCGGAAGAAACGAATTATCTTCATGTCTCTTGTTCTAGTTCTCCAAATGTGTGCCAATTTGCTTCGTACAGAGAAAGGTGGAATTTCCAATACGTAGCCCGTGATCCCTTCTCGTTTCCAGCCATACCCATAGACATGCAATGCGTTAGAGAAGTCGTTCACAAGCTCATTATTCCGGAACATCACAGACATAAAAAGTTAAAAATTGATAAAATCACCAAGTGCCTTGTTTAATAAATGCCCAGGAGGGAAAGCCGAAACGTCTAAACTTCTCTAAAGACTCTGACCCCCCCCCCCCCCCCCCCCCCCCCCCCC